GGAGAGTGTGCATCAGGGGTGCCCAGAAATAAGCACTTCTTGGGCCTGCAGCAGTCAGAGGGTTGAAGGATTCTTCCGGCCCAGGAGGCTTCTGGAGATGGATGTAGAGATATTTTACCTTCTCTCACCTGCCTCCTTCTCCCTTTCTTCCTTTAAACTATTTTTGGCCCAAATGATCACAGCAGTTAATACCTGATGTAGAACTTTGGAAAATTCAGAAGTGTGTGAAGGGATGATGATAAGCTTCCCCCAAGATCCCGCCATGCAGAGGCATAAGCTTTCTCTATCTGAAGGCACCAGGCAGGGTGTGGTCCAGTCCCTGTTCAACAGCCTCAACTTACTCTGCAAAGTCTCAGCCGCACAGTCACGATGCCTCCTGTCTCACTGTGGGAGTCTCATTCAGTGATCGGTGAGTTTGGGGTCTCACTTCAAGCCTAAGGCTTGCAGCAAATGCTGCGCTGTCCTTGCCTGGAGCTGACCTGTGGGGCCGGGACCTGGGGCTTTCAGAGGCCGGCCCTGCCAAGGGGACCCGTGGCCATGGCCGTGGTGAGCAGCTGGGAAATGGCAGCTTGTGCCTTCTTTCCACCTTGGGCTCTGGGTGCTGAGTGATACAGACTGTCTATTCCTGTCTGGGGACCCCCCACTGAAGTGGCAGGTGACAGCACCTATCTCGTCTTTGGGCATGTGGAGCTTAAGCAGATTTAACAAAAAGTCAGACACCTTGGGTATCTGTTACTCCCCTTATAGACCTTTCATTCCTTTTACAGCCAGAAGGGATGACCCAAGAAATGCGATTTCATACTCCAGTGGTTACATGTACTTTGTCTTCAGTGGGACAGGGAAGAAAATGCTCCGTGACACGGAGCATGTTTTGTGATTTGCAGGCCCCAGCTGCCCTCCTACCTGGGTGAATCCCGAGCAGGGTCTCTGCTGAGGAGGGGTCAGGGGTGTGAGGATGTGAACTAGAGGTGCTAAAAGGGAGCTCCGGTGTCCCTTGAGCAGACTGGAGGATCCCAGGCGAGGGCAGGGCAGGGGGTGCTCGAGAGAGGTGAGGGACAGAGAAGGAGGCGAGGCTGGACTTTGGCGAGCCGGGGGTGTGCGGTTGCCGTGCGTTGTGTGGTGTGTAATATTACCTTCTTCTCTGTCTCTCCATCATCAAGGTTGGATTTGGTAATGTGAGAGTTGCAGTCAGTTGCTGGGATTCGGCTCCAAAACAGGCATGAAGGGTAGGAGGAGGGGCCCGCCATTGGGTTATATACCAAAGCTCACTTAGTTTAAGAGGAGGTGACTTAGGCGCTAGGGCCCCTGCCACACACTGTTCCACTGACACCCAGAACCTCACCCTGACATGGGCAGGGTCAGGTAATGTCTCCCCGCACCGGGCTGCGAGCTCTCCTGGGGCCTCACTCGCCTCTGGGATGCCTGGGCTGGACGGTGCTGCTTTGTTGGGCTGTCCTAACTCCTCCCAACTCACCACTAGTTGTATTTTAGTTCAACTAACATTTATTCAGCACCTACCTGGCATCAGGCTCTTTGCCTGCTAGGAGCTCACAGCAACAGGTTGTTGCTGTCAGGTTGCAAGTGGAATGGAAGAGGTGAGTAAAGTGACGTGAGAGCCCGAGGAGGCGGGTGTGGGGGCAGGCTCCCGGAGGAGAGGACACCTGAGGTGAAGAGGAAAGGGTGTTCCTGGAAGATGCCGACACACCAGCACTCCTGAGGAATCTGCCTTGTGCCTCTGGGGCCTGTGAATAGCCCCTGGAGGATGGGGCGGGCACTGGGAGGTCCAGGGGGCTGTGGGTGTCAGCTAAGAGTCTGGAGGGGTGGCCTACAGGGTGGCCATCCTCAAGAAGAGGCTGGGCAGAGAGAGAAAGGCACAGCCCCTGGCTGGGGGCTGCTGGGCTTGAATTTTTAACATGGAACATCATTTTGTTTGACGAAGTAAATTCAGATTTAAACATCTTTTTTTACTGATGCATAATAGAAGTACATAGTTTCGGGGTACATGTGATTATTTAATACTTTCACATAATTTGCAAAGATCCAATTAGTATACTTGGGATATCCATCACCTTAAATATTTGTCTTTTCTTTATGCTAGAACTATTTGAATTCTTCTCTTCTAGATATTTTGAAATTTACAATAGATTATTGTAAACCATAGTCACCCCACTGATCTATCAAACACTAGGTCTTATTTCTTCTCTCAAACTGTATATATTTGTACCCATTAAGCAACTTCTCTTCATTCTCTTCCCCCCCTTCTTAGAGGTTTAAAATTTTATATTTGGAAAATGTGAAAAGAATACTTGCCATTTTTGTAATAGAGTCTAAATTTGACTAAGTTTTGTCTGGAAGAGCAGAAATTAAAAAAAAAGGTTAAGGAACACTGCCCCTGGTGACAGGGATGGGTTTTTAGCAGGGCAGTGACACACATCGGCCAGATTTGCATTTTTAGAACAGCGACTCTGGTGACTGATCGGTTGGTGGGCATAAGAGAGGAAGGGTCGGGGGCCAGAGACCATTAAAGGATGGAGAGACGGAAGCATGATTCAAGGCGTGGTGCTCCAGGTGGGGAAATATTTAGGACATAAAAGTGGAGACCTTGGTGATGGATTAGATGGGCAGGACAAGAAGAGGGAGTCAAGGCTGCTTCTCTGGGCCATGGTAGGGTGACTGGTTCGTGGGAAGCAGGGAGGAGGGGCTGGCTGGGGAGAGGGAGGCTGTGGCGCAGGGTGAGCGGGAGTGATGGTCCGTTTACAGATTGATTTCAAGGTGGCTGCAGGACACATGGTGGACAAAGACCCCTGAGTGTTTTTAATGTCTGGGTTCACAGTTGGGTGGGTGGCCAAGAAGGACTAAAATACACTGTCCTAACTCTTCCTGCCTCAGAGCCCAGCCTGACTGCACACTGAGAGCTGGGGGCAGGTGGCCCTGAGGGTCGTGCCTCCGGTGCTTTCTGAAGCAACCAGGGGGTATCAGGCACCTGCTCTCACTACGTGGGGCACCATGGCTTACCCTGCTCCTTGCTTCTCAGCTCTGCCTGAGGGCTGAGGATGGCTGGAAGCTGGGGCGAGCTGGGCTCTCAAGGCATGTGCTGGGAAGCCGAAGGCTGAATGGAGGGTGATGCTTGATACCACAGCTCGTGCAGGCTCAGAAGGCTCTGTAGGGTCGGGGCCACTCCAAGCCCCCCAGGGCAGCAGCCCTGCCCCAGGTGCTGGGGCCCCTCTCAAGTGGCCCTGGCATCAGGCCTCTTTCTCTTCCGTTTCCCTCATTACAACTTGTTGATCTGGTGCCGCTCCTGCCCTGCTCAGCTGGCTCCTGCAATCAGAGATTTGACAGTTTCATTGCCACAGGATAATGGTTTACAGATAACACACTTGCCTCCAATACCTCTCAGGGCTATTTTCATTTTAATTAGTGGGTAACACCATAACCCAAGGAATGGAGCTCTAATTGTGGAATTTCACACCAATGGAGATTGCAATGGGAATTATTTTGTTCAGTCTATGCTTTTCTGGGGAATAGATGTCTGCTTTCTTGCATGAATGCCACAAGCCACTTCTCGGGGCAAAGGATTAATTGTATTAATTAACACAAAAATAGCTCAGACTCTGAAAATTCAAATCTTAGCAGGTTATGGCCACGGGGCAGCCTCAGACCTTCATGGCAGGGGCTTCTGGGGAAGGGGAGGAAGTTTGAGGTGAAAAAACTTACCTAGCTCCAGGATGAGTCCTTCAGGAGGGTAGTGGAGGTATGTCTGCAAACCCCTCCCTGGGGTCAGCCCTGGGAGGGAGGGCATTGGACAGAGGCAGCATCAAGCCGTGGCTGTGATCCTATTCTTGCTGAAATTAAAACCTCTGGAAGGAGGACCCAGCTGGCACTGGACTACAGAGCGCAGAGCCCAGCTCTTGCAAGCAACTTCCAAGTCCCTAACTAGAAGGGTGAACATCAGGACTGGGCCGGGGACCATCCAGACACTGAAGTGCTGAGCCCTGGGCCCCCCAGCTGGGTTGAGGAAGAGGCTGTACCTCAGGGGGTGTGCAGACGTCCTGGACTCCCACAGGCACATTGCACCGGGCCAGATGAATTCCCCTTGCCCCGCATTGGTGGGACGAGTCCTCCCGAATGGCTCCACTCTGGACAGCACTGGGTGAGGAGTGGAGCTGAGCTGACCAGTGAGCCCAGGGCCATGGGCAGGTGGCAGGCTGGGGGCCGGGGGTGGTCAGAGATGCTGCCAGCCCTGGATGAGGCAGCCCCCAGCAGCTCTGGGTCTGAACGACAGGGTGTCCAAGGGAAAATAGAAAACTAGTCTTTTCGTTGTTGTTGTTAACATTTTGGTAAGTAACCCTTTGAAGACCGTGATCTCCAGGATTTTTGGAGTAGTGACTTGCCCTCGTTGGTAAGGTATTAACAAGTTTACATTCCTCCTTCAGTAGTTCTGCATGAGCTGTTATCCAGGCATTGGCTGGGGGCCTTTCTCCTTGAACTCTAGCTGAAATTGTCTTGAACCAACCAATTTGTGGCCTGTGCAAATCTAAAACTCTCCCACTTTCCTGGGGTGTGATATTCTTCAGGCTGCTTCTGCCTCTTGGGCTGCATCCAAAATTCACTTACATCTGCATCTGTGAGTTTAGCAGCTGTTAGTGAAGTGTTTTGGGGTCTCAGGAAGGGAGACCTTTGCAGCAACTTGTGATCCCCTCTGGGCTCACACAGGAGTTCTACATTCTAGTCTCTCCATGGTGCAGAGCAGCCTGCTTGCTCTGAGGCCTTGCCAGCCAGCACTCAGCAAAGGAGTTTTCCAATTCCTCTCTTTAAAAGGATCCCAACTGTAAAGATAACAAAGCTTTCTTTACCTTTTTAAAGATATAATTTGCTTTTAACATAAACATTCATTTCAAGTTCATTTTAAAGAATTGCCCAGCAGTCCTTCACATAGATCGGGTTAAGAGTCATGGTGGTACAGACAAGGCCCTGATGTTTGTCGTGTTTGTGTTTTCCAGTTTCCACCCGGATGTGTGAGGCCGTGTAGATGTGGCCGGCACCCTGAGAGTGGAGCAGCGGGTGTAGACCGAGCACTGACAGGGAGCCCCGGACAGGGCTGGGCCAGCCTCCTGGTGAGTAGGCAGCAGTTTTTCGTGGAGATGGGGAGTGATGCACACTTTTTGGTTGGATCCATCACATGAGGTTGAGCTTCCAGACGCTCAGGTCATTGCCATGAACTCCCTCTATCCTGCTGACTCAGGAGCTACCTGGAATCTGCAGGACCTTAGTCCACTCCCCTCCCCTCCCCTACAGCATCCTGTGGTCACTGTGACTCCCAGCAGAGAGAAGTCACCACATGACAAGGCAGCCTGTTCCATCTTCCGTCACTGAGCAGCTGGAAAAGTCTCCCTCATGCCCTCAGCTACAATCTGCCTGTCTGTAACCACCACCTGGTTTCCTACTTGTGGCCGCTGAGGTTCCGGGGAATCGGCCTAATCCTTCTTGCACACAGCAGCGCAGCAGATGTTCAGGGTCTGTGATGGAGTGGAGAAGTGCAGGGTCTGGGGCCAGAGACAGATCTGGCTGAATCCTGACTCCACTGTTATCTGGGTGACCTTGGGCAAGTTAATTAACCTTTCTGTGATTCAGTTTCTTTCTCTGTAAAACTGGGACAATAATAGCTCCCTCATAGAGTGGTCCCAGGAATGAAAATAAATCACGAGTAAAAGTTGCCTGGTGATGTTACATCACCAATTCTCTGTCACCCACTGGCTATCGTACAATTCAATTCAATTCTGACATGAACTATCTGAGTTAAAGGGCACACAAGTTACCTACCACAAGTGAAAGAACAAGGTCACCAACAGACTGCCCACCCTTCAGACGCCAGCCACAGGTGGGATCCACAGGCCATCCACACTTCTGACTGACCTGACTATAAATTTTGGGGTTCCCATGACCCCTCTTCTGGCTCAGTAATTCATTAGAATGATTAAAAAAACTCACTGAAAGTGCTGTACTTGTTATTGTAGTTTTATTATGAAGGATCCAACTGAGGAGCACCCACAGGGAGGACATGCCAAGCTCAGGGCCTGGGGTGGGGTACACAGAGCTTTCACGCCCTCTCCCAGCGCATCAGTATGTTCACCAGCCAGGAAGCTCACCCAAGCCTCCATGTCTACAGTTTGTTTTTTTTCCCATCAAGGGGCTTCATTACAGAAGACATTTGCCACTTGATTGAACTCAATCTGCAGCCCCTCTGCCCTCCATGGAGGCTGGGGGTAGAGCTCGAACTACAACCTTCTGGCCATGTGCTGGGTCTTTCTGGGGTGTCTAGGCCCTCCCCTGAAACTATCTAAGGGCCCACCAACAGTCACCTTATTAGCATAAACTCAGGTTTGATTGAAAGGGGCTCATTATGAATAACAAAAGACATTCCTACTGTCTTTTGGACATTTTAGAAATTCCGAAGGTTTTTGAAGCTTTGTGCCAGGAACCAGGTACAAAAACCATATATATATATACAAATTTTTTATATCATGCCTGACCCAGCTAACTCTGGTCTCTGATCTTCAGTATCCTACTTAGCCTCTTTTTTGTGATCTCTGGGTTGACATGTTTCCATTATCTGGTTGAAAAACTAGGCATTCTCAGTCTTTTTCTGGATGTTCTTCTTTTTGTCAATATAGCTCAAGACTGCAATCGTTTTTGTACTAAAACACACAATTACAGATATTTAGTGTGTACCTGTTTATAATTGAATCACAAGTCTCTCATTACTTGAATCCCTGATGCTAAGATGATTCTAGCCCCTAAATGACACATAATAAGAGTAGTTAATGGCACTTGCTACTTACTAGGCCCTGTTTTAAGTAGGTCACATACATTAACTTTGCTAACCCTCACAACCACCTTTCAAGGAAGTTAAATGGTTATAATTCCCAGTTTATATATAGGGAAACTGAGACACAGAGCAGTGAAGTCATGAGCCCAAGGTCACAGAGCTAATAAGTGGCATAGCCAGACATTTGAACCCAGTTAGTCCTGTTCCAGAGTCTGTGATTTTTGCCACTAAGACTTGCTGCACATAACTTTGATCATCTTCACATTTTGGGAGGAGAAGAAAGGAGCACAAAAATACACTTCTGATTCATAAAGCCGAAGGGTTTGCCCAGGCCCTGTTGTCATGGGGATGGAGTCAGGACTTCCATATCCTATTCCACCCCTATTGGAACACCTCTGGAGCAACCCTCTGGGGCTAGGCTCCAAAGAGGGAAGGCAGATGCATGGGCATGGTGGTGTGGGCTCCTGTCCCGCAGGCCCGGGGCTTCTTGGTTCCTCCTGCTTCAGGGAGGGGAGAGCTGCTTCACAGACCCGTTCCTGGGAAATGTGGCTACTCTGTGGGAAGGGGAGAGGATCAGCCTTTTCCTGCCTGGATGGAAAGGATTTACACTAGGAAGGCTCAGGACCAGGCTGTGCTGGCCAAAACCATCTCATTCCCAGAGAAGCTGGGAGTTTGGGTGGTTCTGGAGCTTGTGAGGCCTGGAGCACTAGGGAACACAGGGAGCTCACGTCCCCATGCTCACAGCCAGCATACTCACTGGGGGGTGGTGGTTGCTTGTTGCTATTTTAAAAATAACATCAAAGATTCAGGGCTTGAAAGTGCCAAACAGAATTAATTTGCCATGATGAGTCACTAAACAGAGAAGGGCTGGTGTTCAGTGGGGTGATGTCTCTGGAAGAATTGTGGTCCGCAGTGCTGCCTGCCTGGGAGAATCTGGGTGGGGACTGCATGTCTGTGTGGCTCCAACGCAGTCAGTGTTTGGCCTTGCCATTCCTTCTTACCTGCAAGGCCCAGAATGAGGCTGGGTGGGAGCATGATGGAGGTGAAGTATTCTTAACTAACCCGTGCACCTGGGATTGACTTGAACCCAAAGGCCAGTATCAATTGCTCCTATGTGTTCTTTGCAGTTGTTTCTTTTTTGGCATCTGGGTCGAGGGAGAGCCCCTGGGGGAAAGCAGGAAGGTCTCTTGCTCCAGGAAACTCAGCTCCTCTATCCTTCTGCCTTTACTGTATGAATTTGTCTGTCTCCGTCTCAGATAAGTTGTACAGTATCAGAGCTGGAAGGGACCCCAGAGGTCATTCTGTTCCCTCCCTCATGTAGAGATGGACAAAGTGAGCCCCAGAGAGAGGAAATGACTTGCCCAAGCCCACTCGGCTGGCAAGTGACAGATAGGGGCAAGACTGCAGGTCTCTTACTTCTAGTTCAGAGCAGATTCCACCAGAAACGTCCCCGACAGACTCAATCACTCTTTCTCCATTTAGATGAAGGAAATGGGTCTGGATTTAAATGTTACTAAGTACAACCACAACCATTCTAGCAACCTGCCAAATCTGTTTCCAAATCTTTCTTTAGAGAATTTTTGTTTTGGCTGCCACTCCCAGAAGACTCTTCCCCCACCGCCACCCCTATCACCATCCCCTGTTGCCAGATAGCTCATCAGCACACCTGGTATGGGCGGTGCTGGTTGGGGAGATGTGGTAAGGTCTTTCATAAGAAGATACTAATTAGTGGAAGAATTACGGTCAGAGGTCATGGTTTGGCAGCTTTGCAGAAGCGGGTCGTGGTGGCATTTGGAGCACTCCTGCTGACTGTTAAAAACTTTAGACAAATTAAATTTAACAGAGTTTAATTGAGCAAAGAATGATTAGCAAATTGGGCATCCCCCCAGAACCAGAATAGTTTCAGATGATTCTGGGTTGCCACATGGTTGAATAACATTTATGGACAGAAAAAGGAATATGACTTACAGAAAACAGAAGTGAGGTACAGAAACAGCTGGATTGGTTAGGGCCCGGTTTTCGCCTTACATGAACAAGGGCCACCTGTGATTGGCCGAAACTTGGCTGCTGTGATTGGCTGAAACTTGGTTACTTTTTACAAGAATCAGTTTACACATCAAGTTGGGTTACAGCTCACTACATACGTAGAATCCTTTATGCTGCACTTAAAATATGTAAGGAGACAGCTTTAGGGGCTAAACTTCATTTAACATGTCCCAGGCCAAGTGTACAGTGAGTGGGAGGAGGGGCCTGGACAGCTATGGGAAGTGGCATGTGGCATAAGTGTGGGACTAGTGAAGCTTTGGGTCATATTTGTCAGGCTTGTTAAAAGTGGCCAACACCTGGAATGGACTCCTTCCCTTATGTGTTACAACCATTCACATCTAGCCCCTGACATTTCAACCCTGCCTGCTCATTAGAGTCACCCAGGGAGCTTTTGAAAATCCTGATATCCAGGTCACACCCAGACTAATTTTATTAGAATCTCTGCCATCAGTGGTTTTTAAAGTTCCCCAGGTGATTCTAATGTGCACCCAAGGTTGGGAACCACTGCTGTAGGCCAGTGTTCAAGGCCATCAGCCTACCCTTGAGAGACTCTGTCCAAGTGTTTTCCGTTGAACTTACAGTTCACCTTTCCCTAAAAGGAAGAATGCAAACAACAACAGCAAGTCATCTGGGTATTCTAGGCTGACAGGCAGGACTCCCACTGTCCTCTCCAGGCTTATCTATCTCATCATCCTCCACCCACCCCACCCAGAGAGACTGTCCAGGCAGAGGGTAGAGTTCTGACAGAAGATGGAAAGAGGTCACAGGCAGCTCAAGGACAACAAGAATATGGTCTCATGGCCATCAGCAAGGCCTCCTTTGTAATGAGCTGCTGGTGGAATGGAGGTGAAGTCTGGGCAAAAAGGGGTGCTGGAGCGAGGCTGGCGGGAGCCAGGACTGGGCAGCTGAGGGCGCAGGGCAGGTCAGGACCTGGGAGGCAGGAGGGCTCTCCCAAAGAGCAAGAGAGAGAGCACTCCACCTTCTTGTGGAATGGGAACCTGGAGGTAAACAAGGGAGTGGCAGGTTATGGATGAGAACCCAGGTGTCTTGATCTCATTTACTGCCCTTTTATTTGTATCTGTACACATAGGTCCAAAAACTATTGTTCAAAGTACCTGCTTTCTTTCGCTGAGAAGGGAATCAGCAGCAAGAAGGCTAAAGCCCTATTACGTTTCCCTGGATGTTGAAGGGGCACAACACAGACCTAAGGGCCTAGCAGTGCTGACACATGAAGGGGCGCTGGTTTGGCCAAACCCCCACAGCTGGGAGGTGAAGGCTGGAACTGCAGCCTTATTCTTCAGGAAGGCTCCAATATAGCAATAGAAGACATTCCTTCGTTTATCATTCATGCTTTTTAAAAAGCATGCTTGAGTAGAAAAAATATGTGGCTTTTCTCCAGTTTGATTCTCCAAAGGCTGCCCTGGTCCACGCCCCAGGGATCAGGTCCTAGACGAAGTATACGGGACTCTGGCAGTCTGGCAACACGGCACCCTGCAAACAGTATTTAGTCTTTGTTTATCAGTATGTTTCTAGGGGGGGTTAGGAGAAAATAATTTTCCATTCATAAAAGTCGCACACTTCTTCTTAAATTTGGAATAAGAATCTGATTCGTCATTAGGACGTGATTTACAATAACAGATTAACCAGTAATTCCTTTCTAGGGGCCAAAGTCCAGGTTGTAAAGAAAGGCATGGAAGGAAGTGTTTCCCACATTTTAGGAGTTCCTGTTCCCTTTTAGTAGTAGTTTTAGTAGATCCTGTTTAGTAGTAGTGTTCTTTTGTGAATTTCCCACCAAAATTTTTGAGGAGGCTTATTAGAGAGTTTACATTTTAGATGAAGTTCTAATTACCGGTAACCAGCTTTCCACGATGTCGGTATGCATCACAGAAATGCTCAAAAAGGTCTGCGGGCCGTGTTTCCACTGGGGGAACCATCCACTCCAGGCCGAGTGTGACGGGTTAAAGGCTGGCGGGTTAGTTGGAGAGAGGTGCTGCACACCCGAGCAGGTCCCATGTTTTGACTTAGTTCATCGTCGCACCCTATAGATTGCCACCCTATAGACTGCCGGCGTCCTGCCCTCCTTGGGCGGCTCAGCTCAGCTTCCACCCTCTGAGAATAGCCGCATCCCATTGCGGATCCAACCGAACCCAACCCTCTGCTCCAGGAAGCGCGTATCCCAACGGGGAGCACCAACCTGCCCTCGCACCCCATTCTCTGTAGGGTTCCAGGAGCGGATTGCAAACCTACCAGGAAAATGAGTGACGAGGCGGTCCCCGAGGCTGCCTCCCCGCCGCCCCCGCAGGGGCAGCATTACTTTGACCGCTTCTCTGAGGACGATCCCGAGTACATGCGCCTCCGCAACCGCGCCGCGGACCTGCGGCAGGACTTCAACCTGATGGAGCAGAAGAAGCGCGTCACCATGATCCTGCAGAGCCCGGTGAGTGGTCGGCCCCGCCCGGACGGGGAGGGCAGGCGCGGCGCGGACTCTTCCGGGCCAGCCTGAAAGATGAACTTCTCTTCCCCTTGCTCGGGGTCGGTAGCACTTTAAGCCCGCTGGGCCAGACGGGCCTGGCCGCCTGCGTGTTGGCGTCTTCCCTGGGTCACCGTGGGTGGCAGAACCTGGTGTGTGAGCAGGCAGTTTGGCTCGGTGGTGGGGAAGGCGGGACTGAGAGACAGGAGCCCCCATCAGTTTCCTGTGCCCTTCCTGGGCCTCAGGTTCCAGCCTTCACCTCCCCCCTCCCCGAAAGCTCTAATGATGAGGAGAAAGACTTGTAAGCTGGTCGCCAGCAGGGAGCGCCACGTGGGAGGCTTGGGGCTCCCTTTGCGGAACACCACAAAGGGAGAACGACCTGTGCAAGCAGATAAGGCCTGGGGTGAGAGTGAGGGGCCTGGAAGCCCCAGGAGGTGGGGAGAGTGGCCAGCTAGTTGGAGAGAGGTGCTGCACACCTGAGCAGGTCCCATGTTTTGACTTAGTTCGTCGTCACACCCTATAGATTGGGTATAAAAGCAAAACTGAATGAAGAAGTGTTCCACCCATACAGGGTATGGGACAGGGTTGGGGGAGGGAGGCAAAGGCAGGATCACCCGCGATCTCTCCAGACGGGAGGTCATTTGGTCCCTGCTTGGCATGGCCACAGAGCTCATCCTTGAGGCATGTTGTGCCTTGAGAAGGCCAGAGCATGGGCCTAGAGGACCACTGAAGGAGGGGGATGCAGGCCCTTGGGTGGGGTCAGGGAGAGCAGTGTGGAGGGAGGCAAGGGGTGTGTGAGAGCATAGAGCTTGGGGGTCCTCAGGAAGCAGTGCGTGATCCTAAAGGTTAGGAAGCCCGGGGACGGAGCTGGCATCTCCAGCTACTTGTCAGGATGGGCTCAGGAGGGTGGCCCCAGCTCTGCCTCAACACCTCCTGCCCCCGGGGAGCCAGGGCCTGTGGGTGGGCTGTGGGCGACCCTGGCTGAGAGCACATGGAGCAAGGCCGAGGGGATGGGCCTGAGGTCTTGGCAGCCTTGTGCTGGGGGGCCTGGGGGAATATGGCAGGTGCTAAAAGCACTGGGGTGAGGAGCCCTGGAAAAGCCCCAGAGTGTGACTAGGATGGGCAGCAGGCGGGTAGGGAAGGGCAGAGTTAGACAGCACCAGCCCAGGTTTTGGGGTGTCAGGCAGGGATTGGAGGAGGTCCTGCTTCCTTCTGTCCTTTTATAGGTTGGCTAACACTTAAGCAGCTTCCTGTTCCCTTCTGAGTGTTTCCCACTGCTGTCTGGGGGTCAGGATGCCTTGCTTTTGGTCTCGTGGTCTGAAAAGCCAGGCTTAGAGTCGGACATCAGAAGTGGAAGTGACCTCAGAGGTCATCAAATCCTTTTGCCCTTCCTCCTCCCTTTCATTAAGCACATGAGGAAACTGAGGCCCAGAAGAACCATAGGCATGGCTAATGGAAAGGGAAAGTGGAACCCTTCTTCATTCAGTTCTGCTTTAAAAAATGTCCTTAATTACTCAAGTGAAGTCCTGCCCTGTCTGATGGGGCAGGAGGAGGCTTGGCCATCTCGTAGACACAGGAAGGACCTGGAATCTGGATTACTGCCATAGGGCAGGGGAACACGGGATCCATTCCCAGCGTCTCCTTGTTGCTTCCCACACAGCAATCTGGGGAGGCTCCCGAGGCCCCGGGGGGAATTGCCAGTGTTTCCTGGGGCCAGGAGTCCTGAGCCTGGCCCTGGCCCAGCTGATCCTGGGCAAGGAGTGGGCACTTGGAAGAGCTCCTCATTCAGCAGCTGGCCTGAGGGGCCCCCCTGTCTCCCTCGAGAGAGGCTGTGGGGGGACCAGCACCTCGGGGCCTGCTTCAGTCTTTCAGGGAGGAGCTGGAAGGCCTCATCCAGGAGCAGATGAAGAAGGGGAACAACTCCTCCAACATCTGGGCCCTGCGGCAGATTGCGGACTTCATGGCCAGCACCTCTCACGCAGTCTTCCCGACATCTTCCATGAGTACGTGGTGTCTGGGGAGCTGCCAGGAGCAGAGGTGGAGGGTGTGGTGGGGAAGAGGGGAGGGAGCACGAGAAGCGGCTGGTTGCCAGGCTACAGAGCAGTGTCGCAGTTGCATCTTCGGGCCTTGGGGAGCTCAGCAGCAGCCAGAGGGTACCTGGCTCTGCGAATTAGAGATCATAGAAGAATTATTCCTGATGCCAGGAATGGGAGGAGCGGAGGTGACTTCAGGGGATAGGAGGAAGTCACTGAAGCTGTTGTCCCCATGCCCCATGAGACAGGCCAACCTGACTCCATAGATGAGGGCTGAGAGGAGCCAGGGCTGTGCATGAACCACCTTCCTGGGCTATGAAACTCTGCCCACAACCTTTAAAATGGCAAATTAAATCCTTTCTCCATCCTGGAGAAAGAAAGATGAATCCAATTTATGTTCCCTACAGCACTGCAAGAGAGTGCTCATTTCCTCTACCCTGATCCATCGTACGTATTATCATTTGTTTCATCCTCCTGATTTGATAGGCAATAAATACTTTATTTGTGTTTTAATAAGTCTTTATCTGATTACTAATAAGGTTAGATATATTATGTATTTTCATATACATATTGGGCATGATTTTCTTTTTGTAGTAAGTTGCCTGTTTACATGCTTTGCCTATTTTCCTACTAGTGTATTCTTATAGATTTTCCAATCTTTATAAAGTAAGGCTATTTCCTTATTATCTGTCCAATATATTGCAATTTTTCCAGTTTCTCCTTTGCCTTTTTAATTTGCTTCATGATGTTTTTGTCTCGTAGAATTCTTTAATTTCCAGGAAGTTGAATCCATTGTAATTTTCCTTTGTGCGTCAATCTTTCTCAACTGTTTGTACAAGTTTATTCCTTAAAATAACTTTAGAATTATTTTGCCAAGTTCCCCATCTACTTTAAAAAATTACTTTTGGGATTTTGATTGAGATTACATGAAATGAATAAATTGATTTGGTGATGAATTTATAAATTTATAATTTTATGTTACAGTGTCAGCTCCATAGGAGAGATATATGTTTGGTTCACTGCTATATCCTAGAATAGTGTCCTGGATTTAGAACAGTATCTGGCACAGGGGAGGTGCTTAAAAATATGTACGTGAGTGCTCCGGACATGGTGGTTCACACCGGGAATCCCAGCACTTTGGGATGCCGAAGCTGGAGGGTTGCTTGAGGCCAGGAGTTTGAGAACAGCCTGGGCAACATAGCAAGACCCCATCTCTACAAAAAATTTAAAAAAAATTAGCTGGGCGTGGTGGCCTGTGCCTGTAGTACTAGCTACTCCACAGGCTGAGGTGGGAGGATTGCTTGTGCCCAGAGGTTTGAGGTTACATTGAGCTATGATCATGCCACTTCACTCCAGCCTGGGTGACAGAGTGAGACTCTGTCTCAAAAAAAAAGGAAAAAAATTTGCATGAATGAATTTTAAATCTTTTCAGAAATCAGGTATGTCTTCTATTCATTCAATTTTGTTTCTGGTTATATCTCTCATTTAAGGGAAATTGTTGGATATATATATTTACACTAGCCCCTTATTAAACTCTTATTTAAATTCTAATATCTTCTCAGTTAATTCTCTTGGGTTTTATATATAGCAAAGTCACATAATCTGCAAATAATGGTCATTTTGCTTCCTTTATTCCAACATTTATCCTTTGGTTTATTTTTACAGTTTTCTCATTGCATCTGTTAGAACTTTCAGAACAATGTTTAATAATAGATTAGAGAATAATCATCCTTGTCTTGTTTCTGACTTTAATGGAAATTGTTTTACCATAGGATTTTGAGATGATTATTCTTTATCATGTTGAGGAAATATCTTTTTATTCTAGTTCACTATGAGTTTTTCTCAGAAATAGATGTTGACTTTTATAAAATGCATTCTGAGCATTTACTGATTTTTCTTTCCTTGAACAATTGATGTGATGAGTTATAGTAATAGATTTCTGAGTATTGAACTCTTTTTTTTCATTACTGAAACAAATCATTCCTGGTCTTGATGCATTCTTTTAAAAATACTCTTCTGGATTTGATTTGCTAGCATTTTATTAAGGATTTTTGCATTCATATTCACACATGAGATTGGTCAGCAGTTCACTTTTTGGGAAGTCTTCACCTTTTATTGGTATTAGGCTATAATCTCATAAAATGAATCAGGGTAATTCCATCCTTTTTTTTTTTTTTTTTTTTTTGAGACAGAGTCTCACTTTGCCTGGACTAGAGTGAATAACCCTCCCTGAGAACCAGCTGAAGAGAGTAGTTATACTCTTTTTTTTTTTTTTTTTTGCCCTGTTAGAGTTAAAGGAAGAGAGGAAGTATTTGTTCCTTGAAGATTAACTCTTCACTTACAAAGCCATCTAGATCTGGAACATTTTAGGTATTTTTGAAATTTTTTCCTCAGTTGCTCCTAGAGATTTTTTAAATTTATTTTGCTGCATCTTGAGTTAATTGTGGTCATGTATTTTGTATAAAATAATCCATTTTCATGGAGCTTTTCAAAATTATTAGCGTGATTTACAATATTATTTTGATCTTTTAAACTTTCTGCTGTGGATGAGATGACATCCTATTCTCATTCCTAGTGCTGGGTATTTCTACTTTCTCTATATTGACTGGTCCAGGTATTTGTTTATTCATAAGCCAATTCTTGTATTTGCTTATTGGTTCTGCAATTCTTACTGTTTCCTTATTTATTAATTTTGTTTTTATATTCATTAATTCTTTTCCATGACTTTTATTTGATTTATTTTGTCCTTTATACTTTTTCTGGAATAGAATAAATGAATTCATTTTCATATTTAATTCAATAATAAAGACATTTAAGGCTATTATTTTTTTTTCCCCTGATTATTGTTTGGGCTTAACCCCTGGATTTGACATATAGCATTTATTTTATTGTTCATTTCTAAATAGCTTGCAGTTGCTGTTTTGACTTTATTGTTATTCTAAGGCCGAGAATGTGTTTTCTCCTTTCCAAGTGGTGGAATGCATATTCTTTTAAAGATTGATTAGTAACATTGGATTTTATTGCATTATGTTTAGAAAATATGGATTATTTAATTTCTGTTTTGGAGATTTATTGAGATATTCTTTGTGACCTAATAATATTGTTTAAAAAATGATATATGGGTATAGACTATCTCTAGAGAATATTATTTAATCTATATTTTCATTTTTATTTGATTTTTTCATAAATGAGAGTTGTATTGTCTCCCATTTTATTTGATTTCTGTTCATTTCTCATCATATTTATGATAGTTTTTGCTTTATATATCTCAATGAAATATTATTCAAAGCATGAGCATTCTTTATAGCTATAGCTTCATTATGGAATATACCTTTAATCCATATAGAATGACCTACAAAATAGCTCCTTTGTCCAAGAGAATATTGCTTTCCCTAACTTCTACTTTGATAATAATATTCTGACCTTTGTTCATTTATTATTTTTGAGACAAGATCTTGCTCTGTTGCCCGGGATGGAGTGCATGGCACAATCATAGCTCACAGCAACCGCAGACTCTTGGGTTCAGGTGATCCTCTGGCCTCAGCTTCCCAAGCAGCTGGGACTATAGGCTTGCATCACCATGCCTGGCTAATTTTTTCATTTTTTGTGGAGTTGGGGGTCTCACTGTGTTGCCCAGGCTGGTCTTGAACTCCTGGCCTCAAGTGATCCTCCCACCTCAACCTCCCGAAGTGCTAGGATTATAGACATGAGCCACCATGCCTGGTTATTTTTTGTTTATATTTGTCTGATGTACTTTTGATCTTTTATTTTTACCTGTTTTGGGTCACGTTAGTGTTTTTTGTTTTTGTTTTTTATAGACCTCCTATAGCATTGTCTTCTAGCATTCTGTGGTAATAACAGAGAAATCTGAGACAGTCTTTTTGTTCCTTTGTAGGTAACCAAATTTTTTTTCTAAATGTTTGTGGATTTTTCTCCCCCTGTCCTTGTATTTTAGAAATGTTGCCAGGAAGCATATAACTGTAGGTTTTTGGTTTTTCCAAATGAACTTTTCCTGCCTTTTAGTGCAGTGAGTCCTTACAACTTGCATACACAGGTCTTTGTTTCAGTTCAGAAAATTTTTCTTCTATTATATCGATATTGATTATCTGCTGGCTCTCTGGTCTTTGTCTCCCATATCTGTCGTATTCTCTACCCTCATTTTCATGTCTTTGACCTTATACTCTTCCTTTGGAGAGAGGAATAGGGCTGACTAGCATTCCCATTGCCTCATCAATCAGCATCTGCCAGGAAGACAGATAGATGCCTGAAAATCTACTTAGTACACGTCTAGGTTATCTGAGTCAGAGGACGTGGAGAGGGGAGGTTTCAAGTGTCACGAGTTCAAGCCTAGATATATTATTTTCTGTCTAGCTCCATTTGCCTAGGAATTTGGGGCTTTTGGCATTAGTTTGCCCTTCAATCTTAGCTTTCAGGGGAGTTAGTGAGTTTTCATCCCTTTCTGTGTTTTCTTAGGCACTTTTGAGTCAATGGCTCAGTTAGATCAGATTTATAAATGTGGCATTCAGCCACTCTAATTTTCATGAGGCCAGTTAGAATAAGCATTTTTAACTTCTTTGTACGATTATTATTTTATTTTGCTTATTTTTAAATTGATACATAATAGTTGTACATATTTATGGGGTACACGTGACATTTTGATACATGCATACAATGTATAATCATCAAATCATGGTAATTGGGATATCCATCACCTCATTTCTTTATGTCGGGCACATTCCAAATCTCTTCTAACTATTTTGAAATACACTATAAGTTCTTGCTAACTATAGTTGCCCTACTATACTATTGAACACCAGAACTTATTTCTTCTATCTAACTGTATTTTTGTACTGATTAACCAACCTCTCTTCATCCCCCCTCTTAAGACTTAGAGCAGGGGATTGGGAACTGCTGTTGAGCCCTTGTGTTCTCCTTCCACCTCTCAGTCCTGTGGGTGGTGTCATCCGTGTAGCTGAAGCTCTGTAGGGTGGGGCAAGGGGACTCTCTTTGATATAGGACAAAGAGGTGTGATGGAGTAATTTCTTGTCTGGGGAGCCCATGGAGAGGAGGAAGGGACCTAGACTGGCTAATCTGAATTAGAAATCCTTGACTTTGGAGCTTCGTTATTGTTCTTGCCTGTCTAACTGGGCCTTTGGACTACCGCTGTCCCTGTTAACTAGGCTTACTGGACACATGCCCTGGCAGTAGGTGTATCACCTCTGGTGGGCACAGGCCCTTTGGGTGCATTTCCCTGACATGGGGTGATTCAAGGTGTGCTCTGCTTGCTGGATGTTGTCCCAACAGCACCCAGTCCTCCGTCACGTTTGTAGATCATCTCATCATTTCAACTAATGGCAAACCTGATACAGGACATACATCACATTGTGTAGCAGTGAGGTTTGCAGAGGTGGTGAAAGCTTACAAAGAACATTCGAATCCATTAAAGGTTTTAGTGGGGAGCTAGGAGAGGCAGCATCAGGCGGCTTCCAGCCAGACATCATTTTAAACCAGAATCCTTTCCTATTGATTCTTTTATTGGCTCCTAGATGCTGACTAATCCAAATGTCAGGGCTCAGATGCCCTGTTCTGCCTTCCTGAGGCATGTAGGCAGTGGTCATCACGTTAATCAAGTAGACTGAAATGTCAACTGCTAGGCCCTTTGGGTGCCCTGAGGACAAGACTATCAACCCCTTTAGGCCCATTTTCAAATCCCTTCCACATGTCCACAAAATTCCCAGAAAGAACTATCACATAAGAACACATCCCTGCATGTCCAGGGAGGAGTAGACATGGCCTGCACAAGGCCTCCAGCCCTTCAGCCAACTGCAGCCAGGCTGACTTCTGGGCATTTATGACTCATCAGAAGAAGTTAAGGAATTTACCTCTTGGCTGACTTGGATTTCTATTTGCCCTATTTCCAAATCACAGAAAAAGTTTCATTACATGATATAGTTAAAACAACATGATAATGGCAGGTCTAATGATTACCTAACTTCTCCATTAAGACCAGCTGATGAAGTAGACCTGTATTTCCACTCAGGAATTTACTCTTGCTTTTATGCAATGTCTGTCTTTAGGGTTTATGGTAAGCATGACATTCCAAGGTCCCTTCCTTCTGTAACCTTGAGTCTTGCCATGGTATGTGACCAAAATCAATACCAAGCTTACCCAAATGAGCAGAGGACTTTATTGGGCACAAATATCCATACTGTGGACTTTGCTCCCCTGGGTAAGGGTCAAAGATGTTTAATTCTCTGCCTGGGGAAGTCCCTTGTGTGGTTGTAGTGCCAGTGAGGATTTAGAGAGGCCTGGGGCAAGGAAGGGTTGGGCAGATGAGAGCCCTACCCTGAAAGCTGCACTGTCCCCTCCTCTTCTCTGCAGACTTCTCCCTGATGACGCCCATCAATGACCTCCACACAGCCGACTCCCTGACCCTAGCCAAGGGGGAGCGGCTCATGCGGTGCAAGATAAGCAGCGTCTACCGACTTCTGGACCTCTATGGCTGGGCCCAGCTGAGCGACACCTATGTCACGGTGAAGAAAGCACCTAGGACTGGGGTGGGGCACTGCATGTGGTCCCGAAAAATCCAGAGGAGGATGCCTGACACTCAGCATGGCCGTGACACTGCTCGTGGCCTTTGACCAAAATGCAGAGGCCTTTCAAGGTTTCTAATCACGGTGGTCACTGTCACTGAATAGACAACCTGCCCAGTGAGCACGTCTTTGGATGGGGACCAAGAACTCCTGGATCCCATGTCTAGGGCTACCCTTGACCATTGTGGGATTCCTTTTGTAGTTCCATTTCCCCAGCACCAAATAAAGGCCTCGTCCTCTTCATCTCTCATGGGTCGGGGGGAGAGAGAAGGGTTCACTGGAGGAAGACTTGGATACAGAAGATTCAGGGGAAGAAAGGATTCAAGCACAGTGTCCTTGGAAATATCCCCTCTCCCTCCTTGCCCCTGAGAGCATGTATCTTTTTTCCAGTTGAGAGTCAGCAAGGAGCAAGACCACTTCCTGATTAGCCCCAAGGGAGTGTCTTGCAGTGAAGTCACGGCATCCAGCCTGGTGAGTACAGCCCACTCCTTATTGAAATGACAGTGCCCCTCTGCTCCTACAGTGATAGCTCATCTCCAAATCGGCCACTGTCGTCCTGTGGAGCACATAATCTGGTGGGACGGAGAAGAAAGTGGAACAAACTGAGTGCCCAGAGCATGATGTGACCAAAAGACCAAATGGAAGGCGCAGGCAGCTAATGCAGTAGGAGGGAAGGCAGTGGAGATGGGCCTAGAGTCTCCCAACAGACTGATGGGGTAGCTAAGCCTAGGATTGGACCACTAAGGTTGGGAGTGGGGGGCCTCCTGGATAGGGGGATACATTAGAACAAGAACCAAAGCAACGTGAGATTCGTCTAGTGCTGGTGCCGTTAGAGGTGGCTTCTGGGTCCCTTTTCAGTGCAGCTCCTTTTAGATGAGGTAGGAAGACACTTCCAGATGTTGCCTTAGTTCAGGAAAGATTTCTGGGTGCGAGAAGGAAAGCAGTAGAAAGGACTGTTTTCTAGCCCAATCCTTCTCAGATGTGTGGGTGGTGGCTGCTCTGCTGTGCGCCCATGAGAGGTGGCTGTCACTTCAGGGGCCTTCGCCAAGCTTGAGACATGCTCATGTGTAGAGTTGAAGCTGCTCATTCAAAGTCCAGGCTGGAAAAGTCACAGAATATCTGGCAGGGCAGGACCTTGACGATGGCCAAGGCCACTTTATAGGCAGAAGAGGACACTGGTGCCTAGAGAGGGTGACTTGCACCCAAAGGTCACCCAAAGAGGTAATGGCTAAGTCTGAACTGGGACCAAAGAGACAGGACAACACTGGCTCTGTCTGGTCAGGGGAGAGAGATGAGGTAATCAGTGATTGAAACTCAGAGTGGGCCAGGCGCGGTGGCTTCCCCCTGTAATCCCAGCACTTTGGGATGGGATGCCGAGGTGGGAGGATTGCTTGAGGCCAGGAGTTTGGGACCAGCCTGGGCAACACAGCAAGACTTCATCTCTACAAAAAAATAGAAAAATCAGCTGGGCATGGTGGTGCGCACCTGTAGTTCCAGCTACTCGGGAGGCTGACCAGGAGGATCACTTGAGTCCATTCGAGGCTGCAGTGCACTGATTGCACTACTGTCCTGCAGCCTGGGCAAGAGAGCATGACCCTGTCTCAAAACCAAAAACAAATGAAACTCAGAGTGAAGAGTGTTCCGATAGAGCTGAAGGAAGCTTCAGGAACCTGGAAAAGGGGCACCTGGCCCCACTGGGAGCCACAGGAGATGGAGGGGTGAGGGAGGAGACAGTTAGTTGAAGCCATGGTGCAGGAGTGGGGTCCTCATGAGCCATGAGAATGAGCAGACTGAGATCATGGTAGCGGGGAGAGATTTGATGGAGGTGACTCATGTCCTCAGCAGGAGCACAGTGTGCACCAGGCCCATAGGCATGGAAGGTCCCTGTGCATCTGGGGGGACAGGCAAGTGGCCAAGTATGGCTCAGGTATTCAGTGTCTGGAGGTGGGTCTGGGAAGGGGATAGGGACCAGATGATAAGTGGCATGGAAGGCCTTATTGTGGCGTTTGGCTTTCTGCTGCTGGACACGCAGAGCCACTGATGTGTTGTAAGCAAGTGAATGATGCGTGCAGGTTTCTGTTGTAGAAATATCACTGTGACATCTGTGTGGAGGCCAACTGACATACAGACAACGAGTTGGGGCTCTTACAGTAAGGTGGGAAGGAAATTCTGGGCCTGCAAGCTTAGTGGGCCTGGTGATCAGTTGGGTTGGGAGCTGGGATTGAGTTTAAGGAACTGGTGGGATGTTCAGGGATGTCAATTAGCATTTGGTTATCCTAGCTTCAGAAGAACTGTAGGCCAGAGATACAGGTTGGAGAGTCATGGGCATGAGATGTTTATGGAATGTGTGTAGACCTGGGCTGCTGTGTATGGTTGTGTAGCTTCCACACTGCACAGGGGAGCCCGCCTGATGAGGAAGAGAGGAGAAGGGGGAATTCATCCTGTGCTCCACTTGCTCTGTCCTAGCACTGGGCTGCTTGTTTCAGTCTGCACAATAGCAACATCCCTATACCAAGCCCTGTGTCCCTGGGGCTGTCTGTCCTCAAGAAGGCACCTACTTTGTCGTTTGTACAAAGGCACCATATGGGATAGTAATTGTTTTGTTAAGCTGTGGAGGTTCTTGAGTGACAACAGATCATTCATCTAATGAGGAGATAAAAAAATACACGAGATCAGAGAGAGACCATCCAAGAGAGGCTGCACAGCGAGGAAGTGGGGGAGCTGGGCTGCAGGCAAACCAGAGGCCTGCACTGAGATAGGAGAGCTGCTGCCACCTCCAGGGCTCAGGCCACTTTGAGTCATGTTCATTCTGTGAAATTCACTGAGAACGGAATGTTGTAAGAAGGGATTTGTTGAACATCTTACTGATGCTTCTGCTTAAGCAAGCAATGTCAGAAGCACGTCCCTTCCCAGGCATCAGATCTGTCTCCTTCCTTTGGTCCCTGTCTGCCTGGGCTTTCTGGGGTGGGGGCGGCGGGCGACCTGAGGAACTGCCCTGTGGGCTACATTCAGGATGGCACGGGTGCTTCAGTGTTCAGCTCCAAGGTTTTAGTGAGTTTCAGCAACTGTAATCCAGCTTGTTAATGTCCAGGAAACAATTATAGTTAATAAGTCAGGTTAACGACCAGCTGCAGGGAGATCGCAGTCAAGGAACCGGGGTGTGTTCAGTAAGAGAGTGTTAGGAGGAGCTGGTTTCAGGATTTGGGTTTGTGTTAGGTGATTTGGGAGAGAGTTTTCAATTTGCCTTGAATTGCACACTGTCAGGACACAGGGAAATTCTGTGATGGGATATTTTCCTAATTTTTAACCAGGAGGCAGGGGAGGGGAGGGAGGGAGTGAGGCTAAAGCTGTCACTGGTAAAGAAGCAGCAGTCTCTCTTGTTAGCCACGAGAGGGGTGTTGGCCATTTCTGTGCTAGCACCGTGTTGTTTTTGTCTGTGCTTAGACGTGATTAAGGAGTAGTCATTTGTCTTGTTGTGTCACAGTCGCAAGGTGACCTTTTCTGATGTTGATGTTCTGTAAAATTGTTTATGTTAAGTAGGGAACACGATGGCCAGCCACCAACCCTCTCTCGAGTGTGCTCACACGTGTGATTTTTTTTTTTTTTTTAGCCATTACACCTACTAGCCCTTGGAGTCAAAAGCAGATTATAAAACCAGTGACTACTTTCCACTTGTACTTTAAGATCTAGCTTTTGAGTAACTGGTAAATGGGTGTTCATTATACTGTCTTCTTTATCCTTGTGTATGATTTTTTAAATCTCAAAAAAAAAAAAGGGACTCAGCTTAGAGGTTACTTCTTCTGAGGAGGCCTTTCTGATTCTCATATTCTGCTAAGATTAAAGATTTGTTCTGTCTGCTTCTAGAGAATTCTGTGCATGATTCTTCAAGCACTTTGCTACTCAAAATGTACCATGTTGACCAGGATCACGTGGGCACGTGTTAGAAATGCAGACTCCCAGGCCCCAGTCTTGGCCTACGTGTCAGAATCTGCATTTTGACAGGATCTCCGGGTGGCTCATATGCATAGGAAAGTGGGAGAAACTCTGCTCTAGCATTTTTCCTGGTGTTATAATCCTCCATGCCCCCATTAGACCGTGCACTCACTGAGGGCAGGAACCAGGTCGTTTTCCCCCCAACACCAAGCCCAGCCGTCGCCATGGTGTCTGGGCTGAGGGAACACAGGTGGACAGCACATGCCAGGCCCACGGCTGGGAGAGGAGTGGGGGCCTCTGCCACCCTGTTGCTGTAAGGCCCTCTTCTTCCCTGCCCAGATCAAGGTGAATATCCTAGGAGAGGTGGTGGAGAAGGGCAGCAGCTGCTTCCCAGTGGACACCACGGGCTTCTGCCTGCACTCGGCCATCTACGCAGCCAGACCTGACGTGCGCTGCATCATCCACCTGCACACGCCGGCCACAGCAGCGGTGAGTGCGCTTCTTTCCAGCTGCCTGAGGAAGAACATAAGCCACTGGAGGTGGTAGCAATCTCGTCATTTAAAACAGTTCTGGAAAGATTCCGGAACTCAGGCCAAGGTAAGGACAGAGAGCTTCCAATGTGGACACCGTCTGCCTCTCCAGCTTTCTAACTACTGAAGTCTTAGTATAAGGTAAAGACATGGAATGTCCATTCCACCATATCCCTGACCCTACTACACACACGAACTGGGGCCACTTACCTGGGGGACAGCTCAGGTCAGTCCGGTTGGACCAGGGGTGGTGCCTGCCCCCACGCAGACCAGGCTCTGGCAAGGAGGTATCTTGACAGACGATTACAAGATGGTGGGAATCTGGACCATGCCCACTTTTCAGCCCAGGGTAGGCTGAGAGCTGGGGACAGAGCGAGCAAAATGGGGAGAGAGTAGAAGGAATAATTTCAAGGAGCAGGTTGTCCCCCAAGGGTCTCTGGTCATTTCTTCATGTGTGCCTACGACATTGTCATTTGGAAAGACAGCAGACAGTTCTAGACATTCCCCCAACCCTCACCCCATCCTACTGACCCCCAGGCCACACACCTATGGCGACAGATAGGACTTGTCACCAGCATGGTGCTTTCTTAGCAAAGCACACTGGCTCTGAGCATTCAGACCTTCCGGAATCTGGACTAAGATGCAATGATGTATTTGTGCCGAGTGTGCATCTCTGCAGAGCCCAGGGCTGAGTCGGGGCAGGATGAGGGAGGGAGGTCAAGGGCTCCTCTAAACTTCTCCATGCTCCTTGCTTTTAAGAAAAGATGTAGGTAGAGGTTACACCCTGTGTTTTAACCCTGGTCCCTGCACTCGTATTGTCCCAGGGCCATAAAATGGGACTTCTCAGTGGGCTTCCCCGTTAGGACTCATGGCCATTTCTGCACTGAAACCAAGGCCTAGGGTCTCCAGCCTCTCCCCAGGGACCTGGACTTTGCTCCACTCCAGCCTGGTGCAAACTCCACCACACCCTGCCTCCTCCCTGGGGGTTGTAGCCAAGAGCAAAGCCAGAGGCAGCAATAGTTGTTGAGCACATTCTTCCCGGTAATCCTAAAGGTGACATATAGACATGGCTGCTGTGAAACTGCTGGAAGGACATTGGAGCAAGCAGCGTGAAAGCAGACCCGAGCCAAGGCCTTTTTTGAGTGCCCATTCCCCACCGTCACTGGCCCCCGGCATGGAGCTGGACGGTGCTGCTCTGAGGAAAGGGCAGGTGTGCCGTGCATGGCTAGGGGAGCTGCGGGTGCTAACCATGCTGTTGTCTCGCTAAGGTGTCAGCCATGAAGTGGGGCCTCCTGCCTGTCTCCCACAATGCCCTGCTGGTGGGGGACATGGCCTACTATGACTTCAATGGGGAAATGGAGCAGGAAGCCGATCGGATCAACCTGCAGAAGTGCCTTGGACCCACCTGCAAGGTTAGCCCAGCTCTTCTGGGACGGTGCTCTGGAGTGGCATTGTCAAAGCCAACGTCACAAAAGTGATATATGTTCATTGTAGACTGTTTAGAGGTTGCAAATAAAGCAAAATAAAAAAGAAAGAAAGAAAAGAAAAATCTATCACATTACCCTGAGATTTTGATTTTGGTGAACACCCCAAATATATTCACACATATTTACAAAAGTAAGATCATAAAATAAGTTCTCCATTTTTCCCTTAGCAATATACAGTAAACACCTTTGTATGTCATTATTAAATGTTTTCCCTATCACCATTCTAAATTATTAAATTCTATTTCATCGTGTGAATGGCTATGCCACTGTTTATTACCTGAACATTCCTGTATGGTTGGACGTTAGAAGGGCTTTATTTTTTTCCCCTGACTTATCTCTTAACATAAACAACACTGTGATGAAAATCCCTTCAGCTAAATCTTTGTGCTTGAGATGATTGTAGAATAAATTCCTAGGGATGCACATTTTAGAGCTCTCACTTCATATTGCCAAATTCCCCCTGCAAAGTTTGTTCACTCCACACCCCACATCTAGTATATGAGAATGCTACTTCCCTGCAGTCTCCCCAAACTTGAGTGTTACCACTTTATTTGTTTTGCTGACTTGCTAGAGAAAAATTGAACTCATTATTGCTTGGCTTAGATCTAAAGCCCTGTTTTACAACAGCACATTATTGGGGGTGGCTGGGTCAGTATGGAAGAGCTTCGGAACCAAGCCTGGGTTGATGGGCACTTGTTGCCGTCCGGCAAGTAATGCGCTGCCTGTGTCTTTTCCCATCTGAGTCCCTGTCTTCCCACCTCTAATACGGGTGAGAAATCCCGCCACCCTCTCCCAACATCCTGTGCTGGGAGAGGGATGAGACGTTCATATCCATGAAGTGCTACAGGAATTTGAGAGATGGGATATTTGTTGTTTGCGTTATCTTTTGTGGGCCACAGTCATCATCTCTTTCCATTTCTCTGGCACTTGAGAGGAAAAAAACACCAGCTGTTTTCCCCAAGAGAGAATGCGATGTGTACGTAGAGTACACAGGCCTCAAGCCCCAAGTCTGCAGGGACAGATCTGACACACAGATCTGTGTCCCAGCTCCCAGGCTGGTGTCATTTGATTTCAGAGCGTTCTTGAAGCTAAAACCAACCAAGAAAAGTTTCTGGCAGGGAAGATGCACTTGGACCTTGGGGAGTCGTGCTCTTGGGACAATTCATTCTCCACCCTGCCTGCTGCCCCACCGACTCAGAAACATTGTGCCGATAGTGAGAACCACAGGGTTAGCTCAGGTGCTGCCCCTGAGTAGCTGGGAGACTTTCAGTTTCTTTAGGCTTCTGTTTCCTCATCTGTAAAACCAGTGAGTTAGATTAGAAGGTCACGGTGGCCTCTTTCACTGTCAGGTCTTAGAGCTGGCAGGGCCTCATTGAGTTTATGGAGCAGAAACCTGAGGCCCAGAGAGGGGATGTGACTCACCTATTTCTGCAGAGCCACCTCCATGGGTTTTGACTCCCAAGTCAACTAAGTCAAAGGGACGAGAGGTTGCTTCTGGGGTGGGACCATTGTACTGGGCATCACATAATTTCATTCACTGTTTTAAAAAAATATAGGGTCTTGCTATGCCTCCCTGGCTAGACTTGAACTCCTGGGCTCAAGCAATCCACCCACCTCAGCCTCCCAAGTAGCTGGACTACAGGCACATGGCACATGCCACCTTGCCCGGCAATACTTTCATTCACCTTAACATACACACCAGTTTTTCAAACTTCCAAGTTTTCCAATGCCTAAAGACCCAGGCATTGCCCTAAGAAATTGACTAAGCTATTTAGTCTCAGTTTTAAAACGCCTTTTCAAATTCTTAGGGTTAAAACCACAAGTAAGGTAGCATTGGGTATTTGATTAGAGAAAATGAACAGGGAGTTGAGGGAGGGGCCCTGGGATCGGATATGGAAATCGATCTAAATAAAATGAAAAACCTCTCTCTCTTAACTGAAGTTTAGAAGGCCTAAGGTTTTAATTGGCTACTTGCTTCTCCATAGATCCTGGTGCTAAGAAACCACGGAGTGGTTGCTCTAGGCGACACCGTCGAGGAGGCGTTTTATAAGGTCTTCCACCTGCAGGCTGCATGTGAGATACAGGTGAGCAAGTTCCTCTGGGAAGTAGGCCCAGGAGTGGGCTCCAACAGGGGTCTGTATGCAAAGGCAGCGACCCCACTGGCTGTGATTCAGGGAGTCCTTTGAGCCTAGACTTCTAAAGGCCTTGCCCAATTTCTCCGCCTTGGCACGATTTTATCCTTCTAAGGTTTCACACTTAAAATTAGTTCCGTGGCTTTTAAAAACTTATCATCATGCCACTAATCCTCGCTTGGGCAAGGCAAAGAAATAAAATGTAACCAAAATGTTTGTACCCTCATAATATCCTGAAATAAAAAAAAACAAAATACAGAAAAAAAAAAAAAACTTATCATCACTGTCTAGCATCCAGCAGCCACTCTTGGGGGTCAGCGCCCAGCATGGGGAGCTGCCTGGGCTCATCAGGTGGACAGTGGGAGAAACTGTGATAGGGCACGTAAAAGCTCTTACCATGCATGTGCGTCATCTGGGGTGTACCTGCTACACCTACCTGTGCCCAACAGACACAGGTACATTTTCTTTCTTTGGGGGTGGGTGCAAAGGCTACGAACATGATCAGAAGGCTCTCATCTTCTCCGTTAATGACTGGTCCTGGGGGATATTGCTGCTCAGAATCCATTTATCAAAAACCTTTATAAGGCACTCCCTGTGTTCCAGATGCTATTCTTAGTGCTTTACAACT